CTGCATTAGAAAAGTATGCAGAATAAACAACCAAGGTGCTAGAACAATGGCCAAGCATCGTTGAGAAGAAAACAGTGAATTTGTCAAAAAAGAAGCCTACAATACAGACAGTGAATAGTAGAAAAAGTTCCTAAAAATATCATTAAAGCTAATCTCTGATTAATATTTGCATTTGCATTTGCAATTCATCCAAATATCTGGTTTTACACAAACTTCCTGTAGTTATTGTGTTGACTGTTTGGGTTCATTGTACAGTTTATCAGTTGTTCTCTACTGTTATTGTTACGTAATATGAATTATCAATAAAATATGTAACTGAGTCAGTTCACTCAATGATAGAAAAGGGCTCCATTAAATAAAAAGGTTGGAAACCATTGTTGTAGCTGACATGTATGAGGTGCCAAGGAGCTCAGTACCAATACACTTACACACATTCATTTGGTGTCTTATTTATTTTGGCCAATGAAGAACCTTTGTTGAGTTTGTTGTGTTCACAGCAATTTCTTCATGGCCCGGTACCTGGAGGAGAAAGACGCCCGGAACAAGGATGAAGAGAGTGGTTCACCCAGCGAGCCTGAGGCAGTGCTTCCTTCTCCACCCTCTGCACAGACTAAAGACAAGAAGACTGTCGATAAAGGTGGGATAATGAATAGTCATGCAACAGTTTGGTATTTATTTTGGTATCACAGTTTCTCAATTCTAAAATCTGCAGCAGCAGCCAAATTCTAAACAAGCTTGTGTGTTTTACCCAGAACATGCATAGTTTTTCCATTATGATTTATCACATCAGAGGTCAGACATGAGCTTTCTACCTAGACTCACAAGCCAATCACTCACTCACTCAATAAAGACTGAGGACTTTCTCTCAACTTCTGTTGCTAGACCTGGTTGGAAACACTCCTTTCCACACTCCACACTTTAGGGCCATGACATGTGGAAGTCCTGCCCTTTAAACACTGCCATACCATATAACGTTGCTCAGGACAAACCATTTTTAATGTTGTAAAAAGCTCTCTTTATGTTACAAAGTAATTTGCTAGATCTGTTGTTTGTTTCACTGTGGAAGGAGAATGGGGAGAGAGCATTGTTTCAGGTAAGGCATGTCCTTGAAGTAAGAGGCACGTGTTTGTTAATGACTTTTGTCACGGCTGTTCAAGCAACCACTTTGCATTTAGATATCCCCAGAAAATCAGTAGGCACTGGTAGGCTACTGTAGGAGCCTAAAAGCATTTGTTTATGTTTAGTGGTTAAAATTACACAGTTCATTGATTTTAGGTAATTAGAATATTTGCAGTAATGCAAGAGGTTAATTGTATGATTCTTTAGATTTAAAATATGTGGTAATAATTGAAAGTATGTACATTTCATTTGCAATTGATTTGAATGTCGTTATGTGGCGTTACCGAGAGGTAATTAAGCCATTCGGACAAGCAGAGAGAGAGGGGCCACACAGTTTTTTGACCTCTCTCTCTTTCTCTATCTCTCCTTTTCTGTATATTGATTTTTATTATATTGTAAGTGGAAAAGATTTTATTTTGTATCACCTTTTTTGACTTAAAGTAAAGAATTTAACTTTACAAGTGGTCTCCTGGATTTTTTGTGGATTTGGATACGGACGAGAGGGATGATAGAGCGTCAAGCTATGGCTTCATTAGATGGAAACCTACAGCTACTTTCTACCATACCAAATACAACACCTCCAATGCTTTAAACTAATTAAACTAAGTAAAGTTTGAGCATGAATAGTGATTTTTCTCTGTTCAAAGGTATTTTTCTGTAGTATTCTATGTTGATGGCTTGAGCTGCAATGATGAATAGATTGCCTCTAAGACTTTAAACCATTGTTTTCTACCCTCACTTTCATTGATATTATCACTAATGCCTGGTTGCAAGAGAAAAATGCATTTTGTGCCTCAGATACCTGAATTGCTGTAACATTAATCCACTGTAAAAGCACTTTCTAATTGGTGTTTTTGTCATCTGATCTAAGATCCAAGGGGTCAAAAACCAACAGTAAATGTGCCTTGCTACATGTCACCCATCAGAGTATAGGTGATTGGGTGAGGAGTTCTATGGCACAGAAGAATAAACTCTATTTGGCTCTATTAGGCTACACAGAAAAAACTACTTACTTTTGGTTTTGATCCCTTCATGGGATTTGCTGATATATAGTATAAAATATAAAACAACATGCATATCCTTTTAAGGTCCAGTGTGTAACATTCAGGAGGATCTATTGTCAGACATGGAATATAATATTCATAAGTATGTTTTCATTAGTGTATAATCACCTGAAAATAAGAATCGTTGCGTTTCGTTACCTTAGAATGAGCTGTTTTTATCTACTGATCTCCTCTTCTCCAGAGTCTGCCATGTTGAACAGCCCTGTTTTAATAGTAACCCAGAACAGTAAACAGCAGTAAATAGACCATCCTTTCTCCTACATGCTTGGAAGGCGAGTATTCAGTTGGTTGCAATCTGCAAGTTCACCACTAGGTGCCACTAAATCCTACACATTGGTCCTTTAAGATGTAAAACAAACTAAACTGTTTACTAGACATGGAAGTGTTACAAAGTGTTAGTGTAGGTGGTGAGGACATTTTGATTTCCATGACCCTGCCAACAAATTAATTATTTATGTCATTAAAACACTGAGACTGGGCCGCCCAGTTAGCTCAGTGGGTAGAGCTGGCGACCCATGTAACGAGGCTGCAGTGGCCCAGGGTTCGAATCCGACCTGCGGCCCTTTGCTGCGTGTCATCCCCCCTGTCTGTCTCCAGCTTTACTATCAAATAAAGACATAAAAAGCCTAAAAAATAAATTAAAAAAAGCTGATGTTAAATTGAGGTCAAGGAGCTGTTTGGACAAATGGGCCCACAGTCAACTACCAGAATGGTTCAGGTTGCATTTAGGTTATGTTGAGAACAGATTTCAATACCAAAGAGGTGTCAGAAAGTTCACATAGGCGTGAAACATCTGTAAGCACTATTTTTAGCAACCTGATCCCACCCGAGCAGCAGTTTACAACATTTCAGACTGTATATGTGCAGAATATTTGGTCTCACAAGCTCCCATCAAAGCTGTTCACTTCAAACAACTTTAAGCTTGATGCACACAGCAAATATTTTCCTCATCCGTGTTTCTTTCCAGCTGAGCAGGCGCGTCAGGACTACGGTGGTGGGCTGTCAGGCCCGCCGTTTGGCTCTATTGCCAACTGTATCGAGTGGACCTCAGACTGGAGCCCCTGCTCCCACAGCTGTGGCCCAGGTGTCTCCACCCGCACCACAAACAGGAACTGGGCTTGTCGCCTGCAGACTGAGACCAGACTGTGCCAGGTCAGGCCGTGCCAGACTCTGCTGCCGGGGCTCCGAAGGCCGCAGCCGGTCAGTGCACAATAGCACACATTAATCAGTCCCACTGATCAAACACTTGTTCTTGCATTTCCAAGTAAAGTTCCACCCAAGAATGTGTATAGGCCTATCGTTTACAAATGCTTTTGGTGATGTAATGGATTTCTGAGCTGCCACTGTGCACCATTTTGGCATCCACATCATGTTTAACATATGGAACATTATGCAATATTATATAAATGCATTCCAAAAAAATAGTAAGTAAGTAAGAAATATTTAATTAACTTTCATCGTCAATTTGTTTTTAATTTTGACAATTTATTTTTAAACAGCTTTTTAAGACCATTATGAATACAAT